AGAGAGAAAGAGAAGGAGAATGGAAATTAATAGAAGACATGGGTGAGAGGGTCTTAGGCCGTAAAATATACATCCTCCCATCCATCAGCCTCTGCTGTCATCTCTGAAGCATAAAATCCCCCATAAAACACTGTTACTGTTGGGAACGCTCCCCACTGCAATTAGACAGCAGCTTCATTAGAGAGAGTGTGACGGAAATGGCAGCGTTCAGAGGAAGGGGCAGCGCGGGGCAGATGTGCTCTGATCATAGAGTCCAATCTGGACAAATATTTCTTCCCTTCTGTCCATCAAGACCCGAAATAGAATATAACGGTGTTTTCAATGATGAAATACGTCCAGCATGAATAATAGCTATATGTGCCAGTTAAACTTCAGTCAGCAGATCAGATCTCTCACGAACACACACTATGAAAATCTCCTTCATGTTAAATTGAATACTTGGCATCAATACTTGGTCAATGTTGGAGAATAATCAACTAAATGCAGTGCAACATTCATCAGAAGCATGACAATAGCCGTTGTAGCTTCTTGAGTAGCAAGCTATATTTTCAACAATTAGCTGTGTAGCATGACAAAATGCTGCATAGCTTTTTTATTGTCACTGTGTTGCTTAAATAGATTTACAGCAATAAGAATAAGAGTAAAGAATAAGAATAGAGTCAATAAGCAAACAAAAACCCTCTTAAGTTGTAAAACAAAATTATCAATCTCAAATAAACACTTCTCAAATTAAAACTACATTGCATCCTTAGTGTCAATGTAGTTAGCTATGTGTTAGCAACTAGCTTCAAAAAAGTAGACTGTAGTTTAACAACTTAAAACAGAACAGTTAAAAGGCAATGTCTCCTTACATGGTGTCAGTTTAGCTAGCTACTTTTTGTTAGCAACTAGCTTCAAAAGAGTAGATTTACTGTAGTTTACCTTAAAAACAGTAGTATTTTGCTGCTTGCCAAACTACTGTTGCTTCAAAATAACTCTGCCTGACTGTGGTGCAGTGTACATGCTCTAGATTGGAGCCTAGGTGTTTACACTAGTCATGTAGGTTTGAATCTGGCTAACACATCCCGATTCCATCCCCACTCTCATCACAATAATGTCCTTTCTGCATTTCCCACTGTATCTAATAAAAAAGCAGCAAAGCCCCCAATATAAAAAGATTAAATACTTGGCAAAACTGTGATAAGCTGAAAATTGCACTCAAATCTGTCACCCTGAGCTTCAAAAAAAGAACACTGTTCATTTTAGTGATAAATTTACCTTCTTTTGAGGCGTGTCTGCATTGTGCAACGTATGAGCATATCAGCCCCCCATAGACCACCACACTTCAGCTCCCCGGAGAGACATTATTACCAGTTATGAAAGCAGCGGTCTGGTTGGGGGCGCTCTGTCGAGATGTTGCGACATTGACAGTGAGGGGAGAGAATAATTGAATGTGCCATTGTTGCATGGCACTCTGCAAGCGCTCTGTGTGGCAGACTGTGTTCAGAGGAACAGAGAAATTATTATTCTCCCATGCACAGTTAGAATCACTTGTCTCGCAGACATATAATGGTGAGCGCTGAGACATCAGTGAAGCACAGGCCCATGAGAGAGCCTGAAATCCATTTCCACACAAGCAGCAAGTTTTGAGAATTGTTAATTGCTTCTCTGATTAGCCGCTCTGAAAATCTGTCCACCCAGGACCTCAAGACTCCCAAGTCGGAAAGGATTGTGAATTGGGATCCATAAGCAAGACATTGCTTTTACACACTAGTCTTCAGGCAGTAGCAGTGACTTGCATGAAGGTGCTCCTTGGTCACAAGCAGACGGGGGCCTGAAGGAAGAATTACACTTCTGAGCTTTGGGTTTATGTTCATTTTCATGGACTAGTTTCATGACGAAGCCAGACAGCCAAGTGCATTAGAATTCAGGTACATTTCTGAGAGTGTGTCTCAACGTCTTCTCACAGTGGGCAGCCTACAGGTCCTCATGCGGTCCAGCGTTTGCCATATGGAGGGGCTGCATTTCAGGGATTCGGTGACCTGAACAATAGGAAATGGAAAAAAATATCTGGTGGAGAAGGCAGCGGTGGATATTTCCAAGCTGAGTTTGAAGGGAATGCTGGGATATGGTGTGAAACAGATGGAGGGCGACATTGAGTGGGTTCGGTTTGCCCTCTAAATGCCATGTCCCTCAGGTAGCCCAGGAGAATAAACCTCTATTAGGACAGAGAGATTGACTGGCACATTTAAATTTTGTGAGGGCATAGCTTCGCAAGACTGTGTTTATGTCAGGGAGAGAACGAGAGATAGCGTATGAGGTCTGACTTGGCCCCTGAGAATTCCCCACTATCAGGAAGTCCATGGTGACAGTCACATTTAAATACATGGGAGACAACATGCTTGAATTTCATTTTAGATAACCTAGGAGACCGTGGAAGCCGAACAGAAAAGCACAGACTTTAAGTGCAAGAGTGCTAACTGGGGCCAGGGCTACAAGGTTCTCTCCATTCAGCCCTTCCAAAAGCACTAACAAAAAATAAAAATATTTCATGTGCTGTACTCACACGCAAAATGTGATGCATAATTACATATGCTAATATAAAAATGCCATTGCATTTTTGAAATGTAAGGAGAAATTAAACTGAATTTGCATTGCTAGTGGTGTTTTTTTGGAATTATGTGACACTTAAATCAGAAATGCAAAGCACAAGTGAAATGAAAAATATAAATAAACCTACCAAAGCACTAGGCTACAATTATGCTGATGTAAAAATCACTTTAATCAAACATTTAATCCAAGCATCATTAAAAAAAAAAAGACAGCAACCACTGTTCCCGGGCAAATACTCTCACACGCAGAGCAAAGTAGCACTAGGGATTGTTCTATGGTGTTTTTTTGGAATTATGTGACACTTAAATCAGAAATGCAAAGCACAAGTGAAATGAAAAAAATAAATAAACCTACCAAAGCACTAGGCTACAATTATGCTGATGTAAAAATCACTTTAATCAAACATTTAATCCAAGCATCATTAAAAAAAAAAAAGACAGCAACCACTGTTCCCGGGCAAATACTCTCACACGCAGAGCAAAGTAGCACTAGAGATTGTTCTAAACGCTCATAATAACAGTACAGCAACAAATACTCGCCCATGCTAGGCTGATCTTATCATATCCACAGGTAAAATTACACCTTTTCAAGTGTGTCATGAAGAGGTAATTGGGCGTGCGGTGTCATCTTCACAAAGAGGAAAGCTGGAGCCCAATTCACACAGCTGTTCTGACCATACCCTAATTGCTCCATGGGAAGCCAATGCCCTCTATCTCACCAGAGGCCAAATATTATAGGGATGTCACATTTATTTACTTCCCCCTGAAATACAGATTATACTATTTAGAAAGTATAGGCTAACACGGCGTCTTGTTTTCCCATTTCAAACAGAAATGGGCCAAAAATAGGGGAGAGTGTTCAGATTACAGATGGCAACATGCTTTCCACTCAACGGAAGCTGTTCAAGGACAACATCCCTGATATTTACAAAACACAGACTGAGATCAGCCTCTTAATGTATTATCACTAATTAAAATGAAATTAAATGGCACTGCTTCTGATAAATGTATTCAATTTTGGATTTAAAAAAAAAAAAACATTTTAGCATGTTCACCCTCCAAACATGTAGGGCTTTTCTTCTGCAAAAAATGCAAGAGAGTTTTCCATCATGAAGTCCAAGCTGCTAATTTCCATATTATAAAATGCAATTGCGACAATGGCGGTCATTTGCGAAAAAGCAGGCTGGACATTTCCGATAAATACCTCCAGTCGTGTTCCACAGAAGAAAGAATGTCAAATGGGTTTGGAAGGACATGAAGATGAGTAAATGATGACAGACTTTGCGATTTTTGGATGAACCTTCTCTTTAAACATTGTCCAACTACGACATAGTGTAAATAGAAATCTGTCTGACTAACCCCTGAGTCAGATTTCCGACCTTTCAACCAGATAGCACTCAACAAGACGTGAGTCAGCTTTGAAGTCCATCGGACACCTGCTAAATCAGAAGAGCCAGAAGAATACACCCACCTGCTCCATCTCTGTGCGAAACAATCTGGGGGGAAAAAAACAAGGCAGGCGTGCGTAGGAATGCAGACTGGAGTCAAGCATGTTGATTCAACAGGGGAGATGGAGAGGAACAGCCACTGCAGAGTAGTTATAGGGGGAGACTCGCAGGACCAGCGACTCTTTGAAGACGAGAGTCTGTAGCGCTTGCGACACCCATGGGCTTCGGATGAGCATCAGAGAGTCTTCGCCAGGAGCGGCCGCTAAGATTACCGCTCTCCCTTTAATCCCACAAAGGGGATTAGATGCTGCCTGAGAAGCGGGAGAGCAGTTTTCCCATAGAATGGGGGTCTGCTTTGAATTATTAACACTTCTCTACAGCCTGGTAAGACAGGACTTTATAACACAATCACAAGGTTCAAGGTTTACGTTTTAGCACAGTCGCACACATATCCATGCACGTGGAATCAGAGTTCCCCCACACATAGTCACAAGGACTCCAAATTTGACAGCTTTTTCAAACCCAATAACCTCCTACAGAAGAGCGCAGAGGAAGTGAAATTCTATCAGTGTGGTAGGAAAGCTTTTAGCTGAGTAGCGTCTGCACACACACAACGGAACATAGTGCTGAGGGGACAAGAGGGGAAAAAAAAAAACTTGACTGTGATGCATGATAGCAATGTCAACCATCAAGTTTCAGAGCACCTCAACTACATCCTGTAAGGAAGACAACTACAACAAGCCCAACAATATAATCTCATGATATTTAATAATAAATTTGAACAATAAAATAAAGTTCTACACAAGGATTGTTCGTAAGAATCTCCCGAGTTGACCTATAATGCTCCAATCACTGCCTGACACTCTCAGATCAATTCCCCAACCAGCGGGACAAACATTAAAGATATCAGAGTACAACAAGCACTGACTTCCTGAGGTGAAAGAACTTGTCCGAAACTTACCCCCCTTGTTCCATCTGCCCTTATTCCTGCCCTGAAGGGATGGATGGGGAACGTCCAGGAAGACCAGCAGAAACAAAGTGAGTCTCACAGGAGAGAGGAGGAACATCTCCAGAGGTCTCTGGGGTCGAAGGTGATGGTCCTTCACCTGCCCGTATTTATGCTCACTGGAGCACAAGGGGCACACGGAACCTGGCTCGTTGGTCCAGTCATCGGTCACAGTTCAGAAGCAAGCGTGAAGTGTGCGTGTGCCTCCACCACGCTGCCGAGAGCTCCTGAGCTCTGCCCGCCTAAGAGCGCACGGGTGAGAGTGAGACCCTCTTCTCAGTCAAGCTCCATCATATGCGATCGAGAGCCTTCATCATCTGAGAGTGAGAGAATGAGCGTTTGAGAAGCACAGCACAGCTCAGTCTTCCCTCGAAACATGCGCACGGATGCATGCACACACACTCTCACTGCTGTCACCGCTGTCCGAAGCCGTCCGCTGTTTTCCCTGCAGTAGTGGATCTGTCCCAGTCCACAGTGAGAAATCTCCCACACGATCGTTCTCCTTTTCCCGTTTTGCGCGCCAAAAAGCTCCACAACGTGCGTTCGTCTACGTAGAGGAGTTTCCAGAGAGAGAAAGGAGGAGGGGAGGAAATAATAGCGTAACATGCACCGTGGGTCACAAGGGATGCGCCAGGAGAGAGAGAGAGCGAGGGCAGGACGGCAGAGAGATGCAGAGTGGTGACAGCACTAATCCTGGAGCTCTGATCATAACAGACGTTGAGGCAGTGGAAGCCAGAGAGGCTCTTTAAAGACTAATAACACTCTCGGCTTCAACTCTGAGAGAGAGAGAGAAAGAGAGAGAGGAAGAGCAAGAGAGTGACTCTTGGAGATAAGAGTAGGGGGAGAAGGAGTGATGTTGGACATTGCAATAGTCAGCAGGTTTGCCTAAACATGCTGGTTCTCAGCTTAGGGAAAGTTAGTAGCATTAAACGTCCTCAGGGGGCTCATGCAAATGAACATTGCCTGAAACTCTCGAACACACATACACACACTTGCAAAACGCTTATGCTAAAGACTGTTATTTTTGCCAAGCTGCTGTCAGAGGGCGAGCGCTCACTGGGCTTGGGGTTTTAGGGTGTGTGAGACATGTGTGAGATTTATCATCATTTGGATTCACACAGAGCGCATAAATAACGTCTGTAGCAGCAGCAGTGCCATTAGTGACGACTCGGTTGACAGTTACAGCAAACAATGACATATGAAAACATTTCCTGTTATCTACATGAATAAGTCTCGATTTATGATGAGCACTAGATGACCTTCCTCTTTCAACCACTGCAGTGCATCTATTAATCATTTGGTGTCAATCAAAATGTCTTGAATTACATTCCAAGTACAATGCTAGGTTCTTTGCTATATGAATAGAAAACTGCATATTCTAATGGCACCCTTCCATCACAGTCAAATCTTACAAGAATAAATATGGCATTGAATCTTACTGCTTAGCTCTCACTTTCTTTATCCTGAAGAACATTTCTCGTGTCTGTTCAAGTGAAGAAACTTGATGGCTAAATGATTCCTTGAGAGGCAATATAAGTTTCTCTAGTGCTGCTTCTTTTAAATGTCAGCGACTAGGCATTACCCATTCAAGTGCTTAAGGGGCACAATTGTAAGGTTTTACAAATAAACATGAACATTCATTTACTGATTCCCATTGCAGTTACAAAAATCTACACACTGGGGTTGGGAATCAGTTCTTATTCAAAACATTTCCGTTTAAAAAAATGATATAAGACATTTCGATCTGTTAAACAATCTTGAATGGCTGCATTTTTTTTTTTTGCCAATGCAGATGCAATGAAAGAACTGATAAAAACTGACAGTGCTTTCTACACTTCAAATCAGCAGAGTCGCTGTGCCGCTATTGAATCTACAGTGCCACGGCAAAAGAAATTGCTTTAGCAGAGTTGTGAGCAATTCAATGTGATGAGAGAAAGAAAGCCTGTGCACCATAAAATAATATAAAGACAATAAGCAAACAACATTGCCTCTTTCTATTGTATGATTCTTGCTTGTTGCAAGCAACAAACACATAGCGCAACCTGTGTAGTCCAATTACAAACTAATGACCTGATTCTTTTTTTATTTAATAAGTCAAAATGACAAATCAGTCTCAAACTCATGAGTTATCAGGGATGCACCAAAATTCACACTGAACACTAGAGATATTAGAATATTGCAATCAAAATTCAAACACGACTACAAATTTAGTTCTCATTTGCTTTTCCTAATTGTGCCCATATAAATCACATAATTCAAATACCACATTGTATATTTGCATTAAAAATTTTTTATCTTGCATCCAAGATTCCCCTCTTGGATACTGGCTGATTAATAACACGCATGCACTTGGCAACTTCATGCATTATACAGACAGTGAGAGAATAACCAGATTTTCATGTAATAAACTGAAGGGTACAGATGTGCTTGCATTTTATAAAATCAATTTGAGAGTTACTGTGTTCTGCACATCATAATGCTTTCATCATGATGTGTCAAAAAAGATGTCAATCAAGATCTATGTTTTAAACAGAGTTTAAAGCCAATATTACAGTACACTGCAAGACAACAATCTATAGAAAACCTAGTAATTTTAGGCCAGGACATCCAATACATTTACAGACATTTCCTTTAACCCTAAACACCCCAATGCAAACAATTCAAAATACAGGTGAAACACGGGGATAATTAATACAGAAAATTCCTTCACAGTACATTGGGCTCCATTTTGTTGTTTTTTTCTTAGTGTAAATTGATCAACACTTCATATGCACAATAGAATTCTATACAGTATTTTAAAATATATTTTCTTATTATTATTACTACTGATTGTTGCTATTAAAAATGTTTTCAAAAACACTACTTATAGTGCTTATCTTTAATACATAACAGTATATTTGGTTGGTTCCTCAAAAGTACTAAAAGAATCATTAACTGAATCATTAAGGAACCATAACTGTTAATTGGAATCGTAACCAGAATCATTAAACTCCTTACTCTTATCTCTAATACGCACCATAATGCCTTGATTTATCCAATATTTTTAATTGGACACGGCTAATTGATACTCTGAAATTACACAGAACCTTGAACAGTAGCTGAACCTTTAAATGTGCAATCGCATCCAACGTTCGAACACACAATCACACCTCAGTTCACACAAAAGCATAATTTTTTTTTTTTTGCATCGTCACCTCTCTTGCAAAATTTGAAGCAACATGGTGGCCTATTTACAGCCTGCTGAGTGAAAAAGAGCATCTGTTCCTAATGCAAACATGCTGTAAAACTGAAATGGAGACAGATAAATCTGATCCTGAGAGAGACACGAAAACCACCTTAATCAAGACAAACTGGGGCTGCAGGCAAACTTTTGTGGCAACTCGGCACAAGTTCAGCGGCCTCCACAGCAACACCTGAGCCAGTGACTGCCTGCGACACCAAAACGCTTTCATTTCAAATGGTCCACTGTGAACCAATCATCAATAAATGAATTCAAAACACTGGTATAAGGTTTGGTACATGAGTGGCATGTGCTTTTGTGTGCTTTTGTGTTACTACTGCAAAGCTGAAGGCCACTGAACAGCTGTAATAGGGTTTCTCAGCACCTGTACAGCACCGTGAGCCTTAGCAACACGCTAAACACTGGAAGAATACATAAGGTGCATTTGTTCACATCATCATATTTAATTCTCACCACAGGACTGCCTGAGCGTACTATAAACGGCTTTTTGTCATTTTTTACAATCAAATCAAAAGCTATTGTTTTCATAAGCATAATGTGTATGATTGAACTAATGACATAAAAAGCCAAGGCCTTGTGATGTGAGGACAAAGTCAATGCCACAGCCAATGAAAAGAGGCAGAGTCTTTCTCAGCATGTTCTGTAATTTAAAGAACAGCGATTGTCTGATAAATTAAGGCATATTTGCATAAGCTGCTAATTATTGCCTTACCAAAGCCCAAGATGGAAAATTACAATCTAAGGATGGGAAAATAGAAACATTATAAATAAAAACTCTCGGCGCTACAATACCTAAGAGCTTCTATGATGCTAATATTATAGGCATAAGCTCTGGTGTAACATTAACTCAAAGAACGGCGTAAATCTTGAGGCAGAATGCCAGTTAGCGCTAGTGTCGTCTATGTCAATCTTCCCTGGGAGCCTATTTGCTTAAACTGTTTGTAGATGGGTTTGTTAAACAAATACCTCTTTATTTCTGCATTCGAGAACAAAAGAGAAGGAGATGAGCCATTTGGAGAATGATAGATAGACTGAGGGGCAGTGGAAAGCGTAGTGTTAGAACATCAGGGGAAAAAACAGAGAGACGGGGCCCTTGGATCCATGTAGGGGAGAGCCTGACGGCTTATCGCCCCCAGACAAGAACCTCCCGGATAAACGCGGTCCGAACAGGAGTGGGGTGCAGCGCTGTGATAAGCAAGGAAGTTCGGTAAGGCAAAACACGCAAGGAATGACAGCGAGAGGGAAAGATATAGAGAATGTAGAGTATGAATGTAGTGAATAAGCCTCGGGAAGAGAGTGCCAACAGTGCCAGAAATGCCTCACCAGCGCCGCACGCCTAAACCTCTTAAAAAAATGTACACATAGACATTCAAGCCAATGTAGGTTATCAAAAGCGCATGCGTGTAGCAGCGGCGTTCGTTACAGCAAAATGCTGAAACATTAAAGACAGACAGACAGACAAACTAAATGGAGAGTCTAGTTGCAGCAAGGCCTGACTCTTGATTGCTCACCGTGAAATGTGCTTCAGGCGCTGGAAGTAGCATGGAGAACAGTCAAAATGTATCACACGATGGCAATCTGGCTCTTTTGTAACTAGTTTTTCAGCTTGGGCAACTGCTTCACAAGACACTGGTTAATCTATTTTCTTCTCGGTCTCAATAATCCAAACCCTGCGCCCATTTCTCGTACAGCGTAGTTTGCAAATCCGGACCTAATTTGGTTGTTTGTTTTTGAATGTACCACTGTTATGCAGCACTGAAATAATAATAATAAAACTAATAATTATCTAGCATTGCTACCATCTGGCTCACGATTAACATTCCAATTAGAATTCGCTGCAATCAGAGTGCAACTTCCAACGCAGGAAATAACTGCTGTGACAACGGCTATTATTAGCACCGAGTATCCCTGCTTATGAATTTTAATTCTACAAATGAACTGTCCGCATACGTCACTATAAAACTGGCAAACTGAGTATCGGAAATAAAGTGCTTGGCTTTCCAAAGCAGCCGAGGGCTTATTGAAAAGTTGCATGCGGCCAAACTGAAATTCAAACTATGACTCGTCCCCAGATGGGAACAATACTGCTCATGCTTCACTGATTCGTTCAGTCTTAATGGATTTTGTAAATCAATATACACAATGGCTTTCATATACTGTCATAATAAGAGCTTTGGTCAGTGTTGTTTTTTGTTATGAGGTAGAGCAATTGATTACATCTTATGGGATAAAAATTCACATCGGATATAACTTTTGAAAGTGAATGATCTAACTGAACAAATTACAATTAGGGATGTCAAACAATAA